ATGAAAACTGATAATGTTTGTTCAAAAATATATAGAAATTCTAATATTTCTCATTGGTATGACCGAGTGATTTTAGCGGCTCATAATGATGATATCAATAAGTTGAATACTAAAATTTTAAAATATTTGAATGGTAAAATGGAAAGTTATTATAGTATTGATCATGCTACACATAAAGGGGTTGATCAAACAGATCATAATATATATCTCAAATATCCTATAGAAACATTAAATAAAGTAAGAGAAGGTCTCCCACCACATAAATTAGATTTGAAAATAAATGCAACAGTAATGTTGATTAGAAATTTAAATATACATGAAAGATTATGTAATGGGACTAGATTAAAAATTATACGGTTATATAAGTATAATATTGAAGTTCAAATATTAACAGGTGAAAATATGGGGAAGAAAGTTTTTATACCAAAAATAACATTGAACACTGGAGAAAATTCTCCGTTACCATTTATTTTATACCGTAAACAGTTCCCTATCGTTTTAGCATTTTGTATGACAATTAATAAGGCACAAGGACAAAGTTTTGACTCAGTAGGATTGTATATTGATAAACCATTGTTTTCACATGGTCAATTATATGTTGCATTAAGTAGATGTCGAAACCGTGAAAAAATTCATATTCAAAATAATTCAAATGATGATAACTGTATTCAAAACGTTGTATGGGAAGAAATATTTTTTGATATTTCAAATTATCAAATGATGAAATGTTAATATAATTAATTAATTAATCCACAAGTAGTACTGTATCGATACTATATGATAAAAGAAAATATGTCAAAATATTGACACTATATGACAAATAAAAAAATTATATTATCATTTTATGTATACGCAATAAGCAAATATAGTGAGTTATCGACTTAAAAAAAGGTTTTATAAATCGAGGTATTCAATATAGAACAGTTTATATATTGAAAAATATTTTCAGTGGATTAAGCCTACGGGGGATACCACTATAAAAATAAACGCGCCATGATATTTACCTCCATGGTGGTGTGGAAATAATATCATTCATTGAATATAATATTATCAGTTCCTATTTTTTAAATTGCAACATGTAACTTAATCTTACTCAACTCTTCTTTGGGGGGTTGACGAGCGGAGCGAGTAGGGGGACGAAGCCCCACTAGTATATATATATATGGGTAATTCCATAGAATTTTTAACATTCGCAATTCCGGGGGGTCACCGATCCTGCCCGAGGCCTTGATTTGTTGTTGTACATGCAAAAAAAGGACTTTTGGCTATCTCAGTTTTTTTTTTAAATATATATAGCCAGTTATGTATATAAATAGGTAAAAAAAGAGCCTTTTTTTGGCTATTTTTGAAGGATCGTAACTCCGAGAGTTTTTAAGATACCGGGACGGGCGACCTCGCATTCGATTCGTCTTTTCACGTACTTCTCCAAACATTACGGTCCAAAACCTGCAAGAACAGTTCCCTAAGCGCCCGCTCAATGTAAACGAATGGTATCCGGCTACGGTAATGGTCATATTCAAGGACCCGTAGCTCCGTCAATTTTGATTTTTTCGAAAAACGGCAAGGGACTTTTTTGTTTGTCTTGAAAATACCTTTAATTTGCGACCCCGCCCATTTCGCTAGCTTTATTTGGACCAGAGATACAGCTATTTGAAATTGGCTATTTTTCCAAAAATAGCAAAAATTCAAATTTTCAAAGTGGATTTAAAAAAAACCTATTTAATTTTTCGTATATATATATTTTTTAATTTATAGTGCATAGTACGTAGAACGTCCTCCTAAAATTTGGCGAGGGTACTTTGCTTTATTTTCGAGAAAAAAATGTTTGAAAATCTCACTTTTTTAATTGTCGAAAAAAACACCGTTTTCCAGCCCACTCATCTCTGGTTCTAAAACGCCCAACAAAAGTCTGAACAACGAAATAGAAACTCTTATGAAAGCCAAAGAACTTCTACTAACTTCATTCATAAAGACTCAAATACAAATAACTTACATGCATTGAAAGTTGTTTCCAAAATTATGTGATTCTGGCCGTCTATCGAATATTCTCGTAACTGGATCAGGCATCATGTCATATCATACACAAGACAATTTGTTTTCGAGTTTAATTTAATTAGATTTATAATAGTTTCGATTGAGCGAGAAATCACATCTAAGACTAAAAAGAGAGATTTTCAATATGCATCAGCGTTGTCACTGAATAGATGATAGACAATGTCAGATAATTTTTTATAATTATTTTGAAGTTATCAATGACAATGACTGATAAATACAAGAAATACAATTATTTATGTACACTACATTTTTTTATGTATTTGAATTATTTTGACATTCATGAAAGCCTAATATAATATTCGCTAGAAGATTCGCTAAGAAATCTTTTAGCACCTGGTACAAAAATTACTGTCTATAGACAGAGAGATGAAGAATTCCGGAAATATTTTTCAAACGTATTTTTCAACCTTATTTACTGTAATAATGTGAAGAATCTAGTTAGATTATATCGAACTCTAGAAGATCACTCGTCAAATCACTAACGGTTTTTTATTGATTCTTCAGTGGACAGTTCAAAGCTGTACTCCTACACAACGGAAATGATTATGCTCCTCTCCGTATGGGTCACTCTACTACACTAAAAGAGTCATATGAAAGCTTCAAACTTCTACTCGAGAAAAATCAGTACAGAGAACACAATTGGTTAATCTGTGGAGATTCCAAAATGATCAATCTTTTGCTAGGTTTGCAATCTAGTAATACAAAGTATCCTTGCTTTTTCTGCTGGTGGGACAGTCGTACCCGTGATGAACACTGGGTGAAAAAGTTGTGGCCAAAAAGAAATAACATGGAAGTTGGCTCATATAACGTTATCAAAAAAAGTCTAGTCGATACTAAAAAGATATTACTTCCTCTACATATCAAGCTAGGATTAATGAAGCAGTTCACTAAAACACTAGATAAAGAATGCGCATGATTCAAGTATATACAATTCAAATTTCCACGTTTATCAGAAGCAAAGATCAATGAAGGTATATTTGTAGGTCCGGATATTCGAATACTGATAAAAGATGAATAATTCGTAACAACAATGACAAATCCTGAAAAATCTGCTTGAACAAGTTTTGTAAGCGTTATTGAAAATTTTTTAAGAAATCATAGAGATCCAGATTATAAAAATATCGTAACAACAATGCTGAAGAATTTTAAAAATTTGAAATGTTTTATGAGCTTAAAATTACACTTTCTATTTGCGCACTTAGACTATTTCCCTAAGAATATTGGGGACTTCAGTGAAGAAATGGGTGAACGTTTCCATCAAGAGATCAAAGAAACAGTGCGAAATTATCGAGGCCGATGGGACGAAACAATGATGGCGGATTACTGTTGGTCTTTGCAAAGACATAGCTTTTCCAGGAATCATGTTCGACAATCTCATAAAAGATCATTCGAAGAGAAACGGAATCGTTCTCATAAAAAAACAAGTGATTTAGATTCTTGAAATTTTCTTTAGATATAACAGATTGGGATGTGGCGGTCCAGGTTATATATATATATATATATATATATATATACATAGATGAAATAGACCAAACTGTAGTTTTTCAGCCTGGAAATGTTTTTTGAAGAGAATCTTGCCGTTTCTGCCTACTAGCGAAATCGTCAAAATATGAAACTTCAAATATCGATATCTCAACGAAAAAAAAAAGATTTTTCAAATTTGAAAGAAGGGTTTTGAAGGGTTAAAGTTCTTCTTTGAGATGCCGTCGGCTGTTAAAAAAAAAGCTTTTAATAGAGATTTGACATAACCTCAAAGTTAACCAAATAGTGTTTTTTGCACTTTTAAGGTCAGGATATCTTGGGAACCTGACGTGAGGGACAAAATCTGCCGCCGCATTTGGATTCAGTGACTCAAAAACTTTCAGGAGTACCTAGTCACGGTTTTAAATCTTTTTGGCTGTTGCCCTGTGTAATTATTCTACATCAAAAACAATCTTTTTTTCTCTTTGGAGTTTTTTTCTACAGTGCCTAGTTTTCGAGATAATCAAAGATGAACAAAAAAGTGAATTGTTTTACAAAAAACGTTGTAACTTTTTATCGACTCAATAAAAATGGATCCTGTAAACTCATTTTAAAGATAACAGAAATATACAACTTTTACACTTTTGACTTTTAAAATCTATTAAGCCGTTCAAAAGTTATAACCGATTAAAAGTAAAAAAATTAAAAAAAAAGTAATTTGTTTCTTTAACTTGAAAAACACAATTTTTAATTTAATAAGAAAGTGTCGGCGGGATCGGAAGCACACCGTCTCCGGGTCGCCGAGAAGGAGGAAACGAGATAGGACCGGGCAGCACAATGTACGCATGGCACAACACACACTCCCGCCTGGAATTTCCTGACGTCCGCCGCCGGGAATTGCAGTTGTTCTTGGATCCACCAGTAAGAAGATGGACAAGGCCGGCGGCAATAGGGCCAGTACGTACAGTGCCGGAGAAAAATGAGAAGTTCGTAGAAAAACAAACGACTTTCTCAGCATCGCACCTCTCTTTCACACACTCGCTGAGAGAATGCTTCTCTCGCCGCTCGCGCACGTGGGCCAAACTCGCGCGTGTCTCTTTTTCTCCCTCACTTACCTTGCGCGCCAGCTGTCGAAAAAAAGGCATACTAGAAACACAATATATGTGGATACATAATTTAATGCGAATTGAAACCAAGGAGAGAGACATAACGATTAGCGATCGTACTCGTTATACCATACTCTTCCACCATTTTAGGAAAAGATAAAACATTAGCAGCTGGACTGAAATTTTTTTTTTCATAAACTACAAATATTTTGTCCATTTTTATCCATAGTTTGAAACAGATCAATCAATATGCTTTATCCATTTGAAAAAGCCAGAAAAACGTAATCTTACAAGTTAAATTGTTAATAACAAAAAATCGAATAATACTCTCGAAATTTCAATTTAGTAACTCAAAAACACAAAGTAAATCCAAGGTACCAAATGCACTTTAAACAAATACTCTTCGTATCACCAGCGCCTGGACTACGCCTCTATTTCCATCTCTTCCACTTTCGCGCTCCTCGAGATCCGCTGTCTTCCTTCCTTTTCAGCTGTTGGCCACTCCTGGTTCCAGCAATAAGTTCGTCCTCTGCACCTCGAACAGAGAAACAGGCATGAGAGTGTATACATGCAAACTCTCATCCTGAAGGTTGCAAACAGACGACTGTAAGGGCCAAGGGAAAAACCGGCAAAGTCGTGATTCTCCGTTACAATCATTATTGCTATTACGAATGCTATTTTTCTTTTTTTACAAACACCATGACGAATTTATTTGAATGTTTTTTGACAAATATATTCAAATTTATTGAAATATCTATTGTATCTATTATTTAGCGAGTTGACCAATCGCCTACGGGGTCCGTATGTCAGGCCGTAATTGAGACAGTAATAGAAATGGAACTATCCTGCGGTTTTTACTATATGGGTTTGAAAATCTTGTACAGGTCTCTTGGATGATTTTGAAAAGTTGATGATTTTTTATTACGCATGAGTTAAACTATAAGTGCTGTAAGTTAAAAATAAAAAATTAAGAACCAACATTTTTTTTTGAGAAACACAGAAACTATTTTTTTATATTTTTTAATGCATCATCGAATTCCTCATGAAGTTTTATACATAAAACCATATGAATTACTCAATCATCGATAAATTATTACTTGCCTGAAATTTCATTTACTGATCCTCTTAAGACATTGATTAAGCTGATCATGACTATAAGAATTGTAGTGATTCATACCGACCTTGAGGTAACAGAGCTTAAAATAGAATTTTATAAAGGGAGACTCAGTTTTTACCAATTTAAATTGTTGCCCGCGACTCTACCTAATAATTATTTACGCGGGGAAAGAATACGCAATTTCTCCAGCTACTAAGTAACCTGCCGGGTATGCAGGGTGCGACGTTCGCTTACGAGAGAACTTAGGATGGGAAGGATAGAACGCATACGCAACCAAAAATGACATCGACAATTCAATAAAACGAATTGTATTGACGACCCATTTATAAACAAATAAAAATAAAAGATAATACAACAGAAAAAAGAAAGAAAATTATAACCCAGCAATACCCCGTCCGTAAGTCGATTGGGCACGAATGCTCATTCGCGCAGCGGTGAACCTCTCCGTCTAATCACGGAAACCATAAATCACTCAAGCATGACACTAATGCTCACGGTTGAGGGAAAGGGCACCTCGGGTCGACGACACCCGTGGAAATCGCGCGCGTGCCGACTGACGGAAGAGAACACACGCTACCGACGCTGTCACTATTTCTGCTATTGCCGAGAATCTCCGAGCGCCGGTAACAGTTGATGAAGCACCGGCGGATCTGCTGTGAAAGCAGGGGCAATCCACGGGCTCACCGAACACATGAAACGGCCGTATTTCGAAAAATGGCGCAGCGAACCACGGCACTGAGGTGTCTTGTCTTTTCTGATACCGTACCGGCGTCCTGCTCAGGAGGCCCGCTTGACGCTCGCACGCGCATCGCGCTGACCTTCTCACAACCGTCTGTGGGTACAATGCGGCTCTGAGGCACGCTGACATTGCGTACATGGAAACTCACTTTCCTCTCTCTCTCTCTCTCTCTCTCTCTCTCTTGAGCTCTCTACCCCCCCCCCCCCCCCCACTCCCCGTAAGTATCTTTGCATTCACAGGCCGCCGAAAGCCGTACTGCTTCTCGCTCCCAATCAGCACCTCAAACAAACAAACCGAGCATGAGTGGTGCGCTCATGCACATACATGTGCGTTCAATCTGACGAAAGCACACACACAGGTACCAAGAGGCAATGGACGAAGGAAAAATTCGGGAAAGCGGTTTTTCGTCACAACTGGTTGAATTCAGATCAAAATTGCGGACAAAATAAAAAAAAGACGTATGAATAAATACTTGTTCACTATATCTGGTCTGTCGTCGATAGCCTTAGTTGTAATAATTGCTCGTATTTCTTTATCGCGTATCGTTTTTGTCTTTCTCTCCCTACTTAAACTCGATGCCTACCAAATTTTCTGACTAGCTTTTTTCTATTTAGCTTGAGCTCATTAACCCATTAAGGCCCATGCCAAACCTGGGAAAGATAGCGCCAAACTATGCCAATCGTAGCTAAATCGAAAAAAAAAATACCCGTGTATTTTCTTTTGCCATTTTCAATTGTTTATAAAAAATTATTTAAACAAATTATCAAAAAGTTATTATTTTCAAAAAACTGATAGCGGCAATCGATTCTACGGGAAAAAACATGAAAGAAATGTATATAACGTTTTTTTGTCAGACGTCAATTTGTTAGTGTAAAACGGCTATAAACAATTGTAAGTCTGTCAGGTACATGTGTATACGCCAAATCCCAAGCAAAATCTATTGCCGATAGCGCCAAACTAACTATGCCAATCGTAGCTAAATCGAAAAAAAAAATACCCGTGTTTTTTCTTTTGCCATTTTCAATTGTTTGTAAAAAATTATTTAAACAAATTATCAAAAAGTTATTATTTTCAAAAAACTGATAGCGGCAATCGATTCTACGGGAAAAACATGAAAGAAATGTATATAACGTTTTTTTGTCAGACGTCAATTTGTTAGTATAAAATAGCTATAAACAATTGCAAGTCTGTCAGGTACATGTGTATACGCCAAATCCCAAGCAAAATCTATTGCCGATAGCGCCAAATTAACTATGCCAATCGTAGCTAAATCGAAAAAAAATACCCCTGTTTTTTCTTTTGCCGTTCGCAATTGTTTATAAGAAATTATTTAAACAAATTATCAAAAAGGTATTATTTTTAAAAAACTGATAGCGGCAATCGATTCTACGGGAAAAAACATGAAAGAAATGTATATAACGTTTTTTTGTCAAATGTCAATTTGTTCCAAAAACAAATAACTGTAAAATAGCGATTTTCTATAATACTATACATTCAAATTTCAAACCGTTAGCCTACCACTCAAACGTGATCTCTAACACGGTTTCAATAGAAAAAAAATTTTGCAAACTCTTTGCAACTTCGTAACCCAACAATTACTATGTTAGTCAAATTTCCAAATGTACAATTTGTGAAAATTCAAAGCTTTCTGTCCTATTTTCTTAAACAAATTGACGTCTGACAAAAAAACGTTATATACATTTCTTTCATGTTTTTTCCCGTAGAATCGATTGCCGCTATCAGTTTTTTGAAAATAATAACTTTTTGATAATTTGTTTAAATAATTTTTTATAAACAATTGCAAACGGCAAAAGAAAAAACAGGGGTATTTTTTTTTTCGATTTAGCTACGATTGGCATAGTTAGTTTGGCGCTATCGGCAATAGATTTTGCTTGGGATTTGGCGTATACACAGGTACCTGACAGACTTGCAATTGTTTATAGCCATTTTACACTAACAAATTGACGTCTGACAAAAAAACGTTATATACATTTCTGTCATGTTTTTTCCCGTAGAATCGATTGCCGCTATCAGTTTTTTGAAAATAATAACTTTTTGATAATTTGTTTAAATAATTTTTTATAAACAATTGAAAATGGCAAAAGAAAAAACACGGGTATTTTTTTTTACGATTTAGCTACGATTGGCATAGTTAGTTTGGCGCTATCTTTCCCAGGTTTGGCCTGGGCCTTAATAGGTTAATTCCTTTCACGATTTCGCATTTATCAAAATGCACTTCTATGTACATCTATGCAGAAAAAGTTATCGTATAACTTCTATTAATTAAATTACTTTGAATAAACATATAAGTATTTAACTAAAATTATTTATCTCGTGCAGCTTTCCTTCCGATTATCGCCCGTAATAATCTCGTGATCTTATATGATATTACCTGGTGTTCGATTTGAACTTTCCTAACCTTATCATGCGATATCATTTATTTTCTTGTAAGAAATCATGCGGATTTAATTTCAATGATAAGCTAGTTTTGTGAAATCAGGTGATGTATGAAAAATCATATCAAAAATTGTTTCAAATCGTAACATGACGTGTCATCTAATAATATCATACGATTATTTTAACTAAGGAGCGATATTTGAAAATCATATGGAAATGTTAAATAGATTATTTAGCTGTTTGACTTAAATACTACATAAAAAAATTTGCAGTAGTGAATAGGAAGTCAAACGACTAATCTATCAGTAAGTAAACTGGAGCTTTACAAAAATTTATTCAGCTTGTAATGCAGTCGCGTAGTATGGGTTTTTCATATAACGCTAATGATTACATCAATGTGTAGATCTCGAGCCCTATAAAATGCAAAGAGGAACAGGATTAAAAATTTACATATTAGATTGAATAAAATATAAATAATGTCGAAGTTTTTGAATACTTAAAAATATTGAAAAAACAACAGCAATATCCTTAAAATGTCCATTATATCAATGGGTGTCAAATTTTGTGATCATTAATTTTAAATAACAAGATAAGATCCAAAATATAGATACTGTCAGAAAGTAGCTACATAAATAGTTGTAGAATAATGTAATAATAAAGCTTTTTTATAAATGTGTGTAGCAATATTATTATAAAAACTTGAGTCAATAACTGATTTCTCGAAATAAGGATTTTTAATTAATAAGGAGTTAAAATGTAAGTATAGTTGAATTGCTGTGTAGTTAATTACGAACTTTAAATTCATCCATTTTCACTAACTCCACATATTAAGAAAATCGAATTTAAAGAATCAATTACTGTAAAAATGATACAAATTAAACAAATCGAACAGAAAGCATTATTTGTACATGTTGAAAATGGTAAATACCTATTACAATGACAAATACCGTCGAAATACAATAATTATATATTAATTTATACAATTTCAATCTGTAGATATATAGGTTTAAATTGATAAACTATATTATTGATTTTAAAAACCTACGTATTTAATTTTATTCTATTCCAAACAGATCAAGTAATTAAAAATATATTATAACATTTAAGACTATAATCAATGAACAGTTTATTAGAATTGAACGAAATAAACTAATACTTCAACTGAAGTATATTTATTTCATATATTTATAAAACTATGTCTTAAAATCTAATAAATCTCTCTTGAAATTAGAAATACATTTGGTAGATCTTTGATAAAACATAGTTACAAATTAAGTAAACAAACTTTATCATTTTAATACATTATAAAGTCATTTTAATATATTGTTATTTTTATGTATTACAGATTAATTAGGAAGTTGTAAGTAAAATATATTTTGAATCAATAACATGGATTAGCAGTCTTTTATTATTTTATAGAAATCGTTTAAACTTATTTTGTAATTTAAATGTATTGGAATAGAATAAGAGGATTTGTAACTAATCAGCATTGGAATTGCTAAAATAAAATTGAAACTAGTTAGAATAAATTGGCAGGTAAATAAGAAATTTCTAATGACAATCATAAATTGTTTTTGTGAATTCTGGTTGTTATTATGGAAAAAATTATCAGATATATTCGAAGCAATTGAGGAATACATTAATTAATAGAAAATTTAATGTGTATTAATAGGCTAGTTATTCAAATCGATTTTGATTCAATATTAATAGATTCAATACAAATTTTTGACTTTAGAACTAATTTTGATCAGATGAGGTCCACCAAGATATGATATTTTATACTACACAATTCTGTCAATTAATTGGAGGATAATAGAAATAACTGAACAGTATCAAATCGCAATCTATTTTAATTTGAATCAATGTTCTACTTTTAACACAAGTAGTTTTAACATTGAGTTTCAAGATCAGCAACATTATTATATCATTTTTTGACAATTTTAATAACTGTAAAATTAATTATATAAAACATATCATTTGCTGTATTATATCACTATCACAAGGCAAATTTTTATCTTATTAAAAGAAAATTAAATAAAAAAATTTGGTTATATGATTTTAACATTTGCATTTTGCCCTTTATTTAATTTTTGTTTTAAACATCAAAACATCTTTTTCTGAAATGAACAAGCCCATAATTGCTGAATACCCAAAAGTCAATGTTAACTCATGTTTCAATTATAAAACATAAAAAAAAATTTTAATTATGTAAATATCAGTTTTCTGTATATAGAATAGGATTTCAATTGTTATTATATAAACTTTCAAACTTAATAAAAGTCCTCACCCACCATAATTAATGAAAAAGTATAAAGAAAAATTATGAAGTTAAGAATCAATTTTTAAACTTTAAAGTTTTTATGTTTACAATATCATGTTTAAGAATTTTTGAGTTACTACTTACACTACTTTTACCATAATAAATCACTAATTTTTAATATTTCCTAGTATTGTCCTATGTATTTAAGGTTAACCTTAGAGTAAAAATTACAATAATTTAGATATGCGAGTCACGGTTAATAAATAATGTTTTATGTAATTGGTAGTACAAATTATATTAATAAAACAAATTATTATAAAAATATACAAAACTCAATTTTGGTAGACTTATAACGTGGTTAACTCTATTTATAAAGTAATTTTAAAGAAAATTTGCAATTTCTTTTATATGGAAAACAAAATTTAACTACTTTTAAGCAACAGAAACCTGAGATGATATTTATAAAGATATATTCACACAATTTGTAAAAACTTTATCATAACAGGTTATTATTTTATCTCCTTTTTAAAAATTTGAAAAGTTATGAAAAAAACAAATAATTCCTGTTAATAATTTATTTATAAGAACATTTAACAATAATCTATTGGCTAGATAAAAACAAAAGAATGAAATTAATAGATAATTAATTAAATCAATAGCTTGTTAACTTTGTAATTATTGATTCAAGCTGAAAATATACAAAAAGAATGTAGTCAAAATTTTTTAGGTAATAAACAATAAATAGAAGCCTTAAAAATATAAAAATATAAGTATTAATAAGAATTAAAGACATTTTTAAGAAATAGTGTTATACAAGAAAGTTTATAGAATCCATTATTAAGTTATTTCACAAATTAGAAAGGAACTTATGAAATAGCCATAGAAAATAACCAAAGATAAATTAAATAAAAACACAATCTTTTAATAAAATAAATCTACCTTTATAACAGTCACAAATTATAAATAACAAATATAACACATTTATATGTATCTGTTAACACTAAAGCAATTTTCAAAGATTTGAACAATCTCCAAAGAATTAACAATTGATTACATGTCCTAATAATTCAATCTTATATATTCAGTCACTAATTTTATCATTCATTTAATATTACTCTTATCTTGGTTGTTGTATTTTCTTGCAGATTAAAATTAAACCTGTTCTAATCTAACACCTGTTTTAATTTTAACAATAATTTTCATTTACGTCTTTTATAAATTAATTCTGTTTTATTGATATACTTTTCGTCTTAAGTAGCATATATTTTCATTAAAAATTAATGATGTTAATCAGGAACATTCAAATACGTCAGACAGCAATTTTAATGCGTAGCGAAAATATGTGGTATGTTCTTCTTACCTACTGCTTAAATGCTGAATTAAACAAATGAAATGTAAATGAACAGAATCATTTAACAAATATCTAGTATTGAATTACAAATTACAAAATGGCTATAAACAATTCCAATAACAGAAAACCTATATTGTTTTTAGTTTACTACTACAAAACGATGAAGTATTCACGGACTTGACTCACTTGACTTCTATGAAACGGTAAGATATACATTTTTGTGTACAGAGGCTTTATAATTTAGAATACTTCAATTAGATTGTGGTAATAAGTCTGACTCAAGATGAACTCGTTAAGCTCATAACATATTAAGAAAACGAAAAAAAAGAACTGTTCAACTGTACTCACCTTTAGAGTTTTTTGCAATAAATTTTCTTTGTACGATGTCTAAAAATAATTGAATAAAACTTTATGACATATATATGAATTTAAAATTTTAAATGTTTCCAAATTTAAAATTGTAACGTTTAATTGGCTTAATTTATTTCTTAGTATTTTGTGTTTTGGTCGTAAATCACTAAACTCCCCGAATTGACCTACATAATTAATAAATTATAAGGAAAATATATATAAATCATCAAATTTTGTATTGCCCATTACAACGATATTATCTATTTAATTTGCTATATAAGAGTTTTTCCACAAATAATTAATAATGATCATTTTCATTCCGAACGACTTTGAGTACCGATATCTTCTTTATTAATTACTACTTCCAAATCAACGAAGTTGCAAAAAAATCTATCAAGTCGATTTAATTTACCCAGTCTACTGTATTTGAAGAAATAGCTTGTAATATACATATATATAAACATATATATGTATCCTTCGTACAGTACGCATGCGCTAGCGTGCGTGGTATGTATGCATTCGTACCCTACGCGGCATTGAGAGTTCAGCGCTCAAACTGAAAAGAAATTTTGCTTTTGCTACTAATAAAGTATTCCTTTATTGCACAGGCCTACAAAAAAAAATGAACTTATATGTCCATGGACAAAAGCTATGTACTCCTATGTATTTTTGCGCGCTGAGTCCGAATCTTGCATTCATTTAACCTCACCACGTCGGGTTCAAGGGCATTTGAAGGTCAAATGGCAGAAATCAGCAATAACCAATACAAGACTGTTAAGTTTTGGGGGGCGCTGAATCTAAATCCGGTATTTGTTTTTCTCCATAAGGTAAGTTTGAAAGTAAGTTCAAGGTCAAAGCTGTTTATTCTAGGAAAAATGAATTTTTGACTGCAGATTCTGAAAGAGTGGGAAATTTTATGTCCAGATAGATAGTCAATTTTTTTTAATATAACCCTCAAGGTCATATGAAGGTCACTTAATCTTGTTGGATGGAGGATTCGTATGAAAATAAGATAATAGATTTTCATGGGGTAAACTATTATGTTGTTATGTTTTCATGGTCAAATTCGGTGTCCGTTTGTCTCCATCAGGCCGGATTGGAGGTCGTTTGAAGGTCAAATCCTCGACAATTAGTGAAATCGAGTCAAGTTATCATTCTGACATATTTTTTCGGCCGTTAAATCCAAATATAAAGACTGCTTAGTACCTCAGGGTCAAAGTGAAGGTAATTCCAAGGTCAAATATACATTTTTTTTACAAAAAAAAGGAATTTTAACCACAGGTTCAGGAAAAATGGAAAATTTTACATCTTAATGAATGATGTGCAATATATTACTATTTGAGAAAAATAGTGGAACTGACCAACCGTCGCATGACAAACAGCCACACGCGGAGACATGGGTATCATGTATTACAAAACTCATGATTTTCTTTTTTTTTCTTGTTCTTTTATCTTCGAACGATTGGTGTAGGGAATTCCGCTTTCTTTTCTTTCCGTCGATAATGTGTTCTCTTTTCAATGTCCAACCATAGTCTGCTATCATATTTATGTCCCATCGGCCCTGGTATCGCTGTTCCATCACTTTAATATCTTGGTAAAACCGTTTCCCGTGTTCTTCTCTATAATCTCCAAGATTTTGTAGAAAGTAGTTTAAGTGTGAATGAAGAAAGTGTAGCTTGTAATTCATCAAGCAACCCAAACTATTGTAATTTTTGAGTAAGTCTTCAACTACGTAGTTTTTTGTAGTTCTCGCTCTTGTGATTCCCTAAGAAGTTTTCCACTACCTCCTTGAAGCTAATCCATGCTGCTGTCTCTTTATCGTCCATCTTGTCTATGAATGCTTTATATTTTAACAATGTGCGAATTTGGGGATCGTCAAATATACCTTCTTTCAATTTAGCGTCAGATACTCCTGCAAATTTCGTTCCCAGGTACGAGAAACATTGACCATCTTTATGCAACGCTTTAACAAATTGTTTTATTAAACCAAGTTTAATATGGAGAGGAGGAAGAAGGACCTTGGATGTCTCTAATAATGGCTTGTTAATGATGTTATTCTTACGGGGTTCGAAACGTTGATCTATTAGGCCATTCTACTTTTACATAATGATTCTTACGATTCCTGCTATCCCACATGCATAAGAAGTATGGAAACTTTCTAGAGCCTGATTGCTAACCTAACATGATGGTAAGAATCTTGAGATCACCACAGATTAGCCAGTTGTGTTCCTTGTACTGTATTTTATTTAATACCAACTCAACATTTTTGTAATCTTCTTTCAGGGTAACCGAATGAGCCACATGTATTGAAGAATATTTATTGGTGTTATGTAATAGTACAGCGTTTAGGCTTCGCTTAGAAGAATCCAGAAATAATCTCCATTCCTCAGATTTATAAACATCCTTCTTAAATCCGCCAATCAGACCCTTAATATTGTTACAATATACGAGATCATTCTCCGCAAAGAAATATTTTCTGAAGTCTTTTTCTCTATTCCGATAGTAAGAACATTCAGTATCTTTCGTCAGTAAATTTTTTTCCTTCAACCTCGAAGCAAGTAACTCTGCTCCCTCCTTTGAAAAGCCTAACTCTCTAAATAGGTCTTTCAGTTATTTCTGATAAAATTCTTCTTTTATCTTTGTTTGTGATCCAGATAGCATATATTCGTCATTACTCTCATCCGTTTCTTCTCTTTCACTTTCTGCTTCATCATAACTAGAAACCTCTAATTCAGTAAATGCAAAAGAAAGGTCACTTTCTACATCTGTATCTCTTTTTTCTATTGGAGTTATAAACGGCTTCACCACACTAGACACACTCGCGTACACAATTTTGTGGACATTAAATGAGTTAAAACCTTTAGTTTTTGTCATACAAAAATAACGATTTTCTACATTTAATGGCTCACTCTAAACCATAGGTTTAACAAATTTGAATGGAGTTTTGTTCTTTTTGTACCGGCTGAACATCAGCCTACAGCTATTGCATATCAATTGTGGCAGCCAATCTTGCTCACTATCAGTGACTTTACAGCAGAAACACTCATCGTATACTAATTTCAAATCATCTGTAAATTGCCGAAGATCCGACTTTTTCAAAAAGTATTTGCCACATACATAGCAAAAGGAATTCACTTTTTGATTACAATGAGAATTAGAGAGTATTCTTGAACTGTTGTACTTTACAGAGGCCAAGTTTTCAATCACTGTAGAGCTACAGTCGCATGATGACGACGATTGCGGACCTGCTTGCTCATCCTGATCAATTGCCGATACTGGGCATCCGAAACCCTGCATCGTACCTCTTCGTGTGTTAATCATGACGGCATGATGCCTTAACCCCAGGGTTTTGCCGGAAAACAAAAAGCGAAAAAAAGTCGTTTTCCGCCATCACCACGTGGAGGTACCCTGAGTTGCAGTACACGATTATTCCGGGAGTATGATAAAAAAAATTAGTAAAGGTCACAGCTGGGTGTAAAATTCTCTATTTTTCCTGAATCTGTGGTTAAAATTTCCTTTTTTAGTAAAAAAATGAATATATGACCCTAAGGTACTAAGCCGTCTTTATATTTGGATTTAGCGGCCGAAAAAATATGTCAGAATGATAACTTGACTCGATTTCACTAATTGTCAAGGATTTACCTTCAAACGACCTCTAATCCGGCCCGATGGCGACAAACGGACACCGGATTTCAATTCGGCGACCATGAAAACAACGACATAATAGTTTGCCCCATGACAATCTTATTGTCATACGAATCCTCCATCCTACAAGATTAAGTGTCCTTCATATGACCTTGAAGGTTAAATTAAAAAAAAATTGAATATCTATCTGGACATAAAATTTCCCGCTCTTTCAGAATCTGCAGTCAAAAATTCATTTTTCCTAGAATAAACAGCTTTGACCTTGAACTTACTTTTAAACTTACCTTATGGAGAAAAACAAATACCGGATTTAGATTTAGCGACCCCAATACTTAACAGATAGATGTCTTGTATTGGTTATTGCTGATTCCTGCAATTTGACCTTCAAATGCCCTTAAACTCGACGTGGTGAGGTTAAATGAATGCAAGATTAGGACTTAGCGCGCAAAAATACACAGGAGTACATAGCTTTTGTCGATGGACATATACGTTCATTGTTTTTTTCTAGGCCTGTGTTATCAAACCATTTTTATTGCTACTTAAATGACGTTACTTCATAAAAAATGAAAATAGTTGAATAGTTTTTTCAAACACATAATATTCTTTTATAGTTGAACGCAATAGCTTTTACAACGAAAGTAGACACTTAAAGAAGTTCAAATCAATTGATAAAGGTTCATAATTCCTCATTGACCCTGAGATGGAGCGCATATGATAAAAAAAAAACATTTTTATAGCGAGGGAAGCGAAAAGATAAAGTGCATAGTGAAAAATAAGAAAAATGAAGTAGCAGAAGGAGCGCCTAGCTGCAACGAGAAAACGTCTATTCAGCTTAATTTTGAGTTTTTTTTTCATGTTGAATAGCCAGACTCCAATAAATTTTGATTAAAATAGACCGATCATTAATTTTTTTTATTTTTTAACATAAAAGTGATTGCTCAATGTTCTGTTAAAAAAATTGTTTGTTAGAACATCAATTTATTTACATGTTGATTAAATGACCTCTTGGAGAGTAGGTAAAAAAGGTCGACCGGAAGGTAAACGCCCGTGGCGTTCCGATATGCATTGCAACGGTAGTCGATTCAATTAATCGAACCGTTCGCGATTCTGATTTTCGCGCGTTAGTTCTAAGTATTGAGAGAGAGAGGGGGCGCGCGATCTTTTAAATTAGCAGTTACGTCTCAGCTGTTACGTGTGGAGTACCGCCAAAATAGTTTTGCACATTGTTTCACCGATTTGCCAATAAATAGTTTATTTGGATTTTGGATACGTGTGCAAGGGTGAGCGAGGAAGCAGCAACAGTAGCAGCATCGCAAAAGCAGCAGCATAAGTGACAGCTATTAAACAGCGGATTTGCGATCGAGGCAGCACAGCTGATTTGGATCGGAGGAGCACCTTTAATATGCTTCAACAATTACGGCTGATCACCGTAATTGCACCGCAGGGTAGGTGCACCTCCCTTAATTATCGCGCGACATAAAATATTTGATATTTTGTCCAACTGTGTTAGCGTTGATTTTTTGTATTCGCGCCGAGCGTTAGATCGCGCCAATTTTCGTATCTTCTCTCTCTCTCTTTCTCACCGAAAGTTATTTAATTGTAAATCCTGTTCGCGTGC